AGAGAGACAGAGAGAGAGAGAGAGAAACTCAATGAGAGTGTTGGCTTCCACTCTCGTTAATCACAAAACTCTGTTTCATACATAAACACACAAACACACGAATATGTATACAAGACTAGGATACAAATATCAAGAACTCATCAATATTCAATCAATGTTCATCAAGACAGCATTGTTTCATGTGAGAGAGAAAGAGAGAAAAACATACGAGAGAGTGAAACATAGGTGAAAGAACAATACCTCGAATTCAACTCTTCTAAGATGTCTTCAATTGGAGGTGAAAATGAGAGCTTTTTTCAGATGAGCGCCTTCTTCAGATGGGAGAGAAAGAGAGAGAGAGAGAGAGAGAGGGAGGGAAGAAAATGTTCGATTTATCAAGAAAAGAGCCTGATGGTAGGGGCGCGTTTTCGATTGCTGGAACAAACGGCGAAGTCTGTAGTCTTGCCAATGCTTTGTCCGTTGGTTCGTAGGCCGGTCGCGGTATTGGCATTCCAACCTCGACGACCTCGACGCTTCTATGCGTCCGAGGAGCCAACCGCTGTAAGGCTGAAACTCTATGTGGATCCCTTGCCCTGGCATCCTCCTTGCATCGTGCTTTTTCTTCGAGCACGGTTCGTAAGTCGGATGATCTGGGTAATTCTGTCTGTCTAGATCTGGTTTGGTGTGAGTGCGAGGGCCAATACGTGCTTCCTTCCGTGTATGATCTCTCAGATCTCGTCCTCTCAGACCTGGAGTGACGAGTTCTGGAAGATAAGGAATGGGTGTCGCCTGTCCTGAGGCTTCTGCTCTCTCCTTGCGAGGGTGTGGTATTCCTATCATGACTTTCTGAGTGGCGAGGGGACGTCTTGTGTTTGCACCCCTCTCCTGTCGCCACTTCTTTTTTCTTTATCTGGCGTTTCAAGGCCTCCATGTCCGCCGCCATCTTTCTTATTAATTCATCCTGCTCCTTTACGCGTTCTTCCAGAGCTTGAGGATCAATCCTCCTCCTTTGCCTGTCTGGACTTTGTGAACGAGAGTGACGGGGGCTGTTAGTTCGTCTTCCCCTACCATCCCTCCGGGAGTTATATCGTTAAGGCTCCAAGTCCGCCATGGGAGGGATAGGAGGTAATCCTTCACGCCTTGCGCCTCCATCTGGGGTTAGCCCGTCGACGGCGGACTGCGGCAATTCTTCAATGTGTGCCATTGATTGAAAAAAGGAGAAGTTTGGTAAAGAGGTTTTTGTTCTTGTCTGTTCTTCCCACAGACGGCGCCAATTGTACGGGAAAGAAATACGCCTTCTCGTATAATCCTATTGACCAAGTCCACGCTCCTCCGTACGACGTCGCTTTCTCACCTGAAAACACAAACGTGAGCTAGCCGGCGGGTGTGTGCCGGATACCTCTCCGATGCCTAAGTCAGAAAACTTGACAAATAGACAAAGCTCTATGTTCTCAGAAAAATTGTGTGTTACCTCCTCCAAGGTGATGTTTGTGAGCTTTTATAGGTTTCGAGTGGCACAATCCTAGTTGGACTTGTATTCCTCCATGCAGAGTCCTCCTAGGATTCATACTCCTAAGGATAATGCTTATCCTTTTACACCCCCCCCACTGCTTAAACCAAGTGGGATGGTTTTCAACATGGCCGAACTATCATTTTTGACCGAAGTAATGTTGGCTATGCTGAGCCACAAAGCAGGCCGAAATACCTTAGTTCGGTTCTGCTTTTACTCCTCCTTACCACGGCTCTCTCCTGTCAACCCATGGCACGGTTGGACCAGACTTAACAAATTGCGACCGGTATGACTCCTAGGTTGGTCTAACTCAAAGGTACCGCCAGACCGACCTATTCAGGAGACATCACGACCGGACCGGAGTAGCTATACATCTTCTTGAACCGAAATAATTATACCTCTACTGGGCCGGAGTAACTATACCTCTACTGGGCCGAAATAACATTACGGCCTTTTACCGAGTCCTTCACACTTTGGGCCACAGAGCCCAACTCACAGCTCGCCCAATTTTTCCCAAAAATTACCCTCTCACTTGCTAATATGGTTGGTGTATGTTACAAAGCAGCAGGGAATGTGATGCCCAATTTTTTGGTAGTGGACTTTTACATGGTAATGAAATTTTTTAACTTCATTGAAAAATGAAACAAATATGAATATTGTATTCCAATTAAGCATTGTGACTGGGAATTATGCAGAGGAGTGATGGAGGAGGTGTTTTTGATGCTTTGGATCGAATGAATGGCCAGGCATTGTGTGGGTGCAGTTCTGTTACTGCTTGCTAGGTGCTCACAACTCCATATTACTTGGATGAAATGCCTCTGCTTTCAAAAAGCATATCAGTATATTAGTTTATGAACTCGTTTGCATTCTAACTTGGTGTCATGGTTTTTGATTCCCAGATTGACACTATATAAATGTCGTTCTCCGTATTCATTTTTATATATTTAAATATTTATTTATTTATATATATATTTATTCAACTTTGTTTGAATTGCATAATTTAATCATGGATTTGGATAGTATGAAATTTGCAAATTTTTAACTTCTTTATCTAGATTTGCCAAAATTTCCAAGTTGTCCATCCAATTCTTTAGCAGTGTTAAATTAAATTTTCCTTTTTAAAAGAGAGGAAAACAAGCAACTCTTATTTTAATGTTGTATTTAAAAAAGTTGGGGCAAACTCAGTTTTCATTTTTAGCAAGTATTGTGTGGTAGTTTGATCAGAGTGCTTTATTGTTAAAAAAAGTTGAAGCTTTTGGTTAGTCAAGTGTTGCATTCATGATGTTTGTGTTATTGGTTCGGACCAAAATATTCAACGAAGCAAAATGAGTTCATAAAACATTTGAAGAAATTACGGTTCCGTTTGGTAAGCCTTTTAAATTATAATTTTACCAATTGATTTGAGTGTAGTGTTTGTTTTGAGTTTTTAAATCATAATTCTACATTCATTTTTTAAAACTCAATGTAAAACATAATCATTACTTTTTAAAACTCATAATCAAACACCTAATTCAAAACTCAATTCAAATCAATATTTTAATTTTGTTAAGATTTTAAATATTTTAATATTTTAATATTTTATGATTTTTTTAATTTTTTAATTTTTTAATATTTTTAAATATCTTAATTTTTAAATATTACGATTTTAATTTTTTAAATTTTAAAATATTTTATAAAAATAAATTCAAACTCTGTTTTATAAAAATATTTTTAAATATTTTAATTTTTTTGTTATGTATTTGGTTACAATTTGAGTGTAGAGTTGTGAAAGTAGTATAGAGTTTCGAGTTATGTGTTTGGTTATGAGTTTTAAAAAAAAAAATTTAATTGAGTTTTGTTTTATGTGTTTGGTTACGATTTGAGTGTAGAGTTGTTTTTAAATTTAAAATATTAAAATTTTAATTTTTTAAATATTTAAATTATTTAAATTTTTACGATTTAAAATTTTTGAATATTTATTTTAATTTTTTACTTATTAAATTTTTTAGATTATTTAAATTATTTAAATATTCAAAAAATTTAAAAAAATTAAAATGTTAATATTTTAAATTTAAACAAAACTCTACACTCATATCGTAACCAAACACATAAAACAAAACTCAATTAAAAAATTATTTTTAAAACTCGTAACCAAACACATAACTCGAAACTCCATGCTACTTTCACAACTCTACACTCAAATCGTAACCAAACACATAAAACAAAACTCAATTAAAAAATTATTTTTAAAACTCGTAACCAAACACATAACTCGAAACTCCATGCTACTTTCACAACTCTACACTCAAATCGTAACCAAACACATAAAACAAAACTCAATTAAAAAATTATTTTTAAAACTCATAACCAAACACAAC